AGAGCCGCGCCGCAAAAAGCGATGCTGCGCGAATGAAGGAAATGCGCCGTGAACGTCTTGCATTCGAGTATAATCAGAGGTAATTCATTTTACAAGCCGATTTAAATGCGACAAAATGCTCCGCGAGGTGCAGAATTCCTAAAATGTTCTTCGCGGCGACAGTTATCTTGATTCACAATGAAAGCGCGGGTAAAGCGAATCCGTTGGCAAGCGGAAATCTCGGGGATAAATGCATACAATAAAAAAAAGAAGAAAACAACAACACTCCACTGTGCCATTAAGGTCTTCCCCTAGTGCCACGGCCTTCCTGATCCTCTTTGCTGAAAATCGCGGTAACGGCAGACAAAGATGCGAAAAGAAATTGCGCGGTTGCCTTTGAGATGATTTCTATTTATTCCGCCGGCTTGAAAAAGGAAAACCGCCGGCGTTTATTGATTTATTAAAGTGACAAGCCTTGCCGACGGGACTTGCGACTCTAATTAAAAATTTCCCGACGAAATATCAAACGGCCCAATACGATCGCTTCGTCCCACTTAATTTTCTCACCCCCGTAAATATATCGAAAACCGCAGCAGTTTGCAAACCTCGCGATCTTTCGATATAAACCGACGCCAGCTCGAACGGACGTCGGTCTTTTTGCAAATATACGTAGCAAAAGTTCGAGCGAAATTTAACATAAATATTGAAACTGTTTAATAGACAGCTCGATTACTTTTCTCATCCTTTGCGAGCCTTGTATCCTTTTGCTAAAAGTACCCGGAAAGAAGTAGTGATATCAATAGCAACAAGAAGCAAATAATTCTTTGACGTCGTGTTTTAAATAAATTTCTCATGTAAAATCACGTCTCTTGTAATCCCGTTATACGACAAGAAATGCGAAAGCTGTTGTTAAAAAGATCGCAACTGGAACGTTCGGGAACTTGGGTAGCAGCTCCAAGCTGATGCTGCTCTCGCAGCTTGGCATCGAACATGTTAAAAGTTCTAACATTCGCACCTAGCGCGAACGGCCGATGTAGATAGTTTTGCAACCCCCGAGGCGAGCGTGTTAAAAGTTACTCTCTTACCGCTGCTACAGGAAGTCGATCATCGTTACACCACTAATATCCAGTTTCCGATAAATGACGAGCGACGTTCTCGCTCCTCGTTTTTCAATCTTCAACGTGAGTGAAAGTAATTGCGGCTAACGCCAATTAATCTTGTCGATTTAACGAACGTCGATCATCCCTGTCAATACGTAAAAGGTACCAACAGCGTGCCTCTCTCCGGTTTAAAGAACGCGGCGCCTTCAATGGGCGCGGAGTATACTCGACAATGCCGCGAATAAATGAATTTTCGAATCCACCCGTGTGTTTTTCGGTCTAAAAATTTTAACCGGCCGCTTTACATATTCGTAAAATGATAAATTCGCTCGCGCGGTGGAGACCATAAAGAATGGCATGGCGACGCATATTTAGAAATATAGTTCGAGCGAAAAGGAAACGTAAGCACGTGAGGTAGGTACGTACGTAACTTACGTAATGTGCATACGTACTTCAAGAGGTGGGTCCCGGGCTCTACTTTACTAGCGTAAAACAAACCTCGCGGAATTGCGAAACCAAGCAGCTCCATGTCATCTTTGAAACTGACTGCTTGCTACGTGCGACGAAAATTCATGCAGAGCGAGTACCTATAGCCGGGGCGCGTCTCTGGCGAATAAGCCAGCGAGGAGAACTCAGGTAGATAGCACGGTGAAACTTCCGGTCAGAAGTTACACCCGTCGCCGGGACTTGGTGGAAACTTGCTCTCACCTTGAAGCAGAGAGAGAGAGAGAGAATTGAGAGGGTGGGCAAAGTAAGAAAGGGAGATTACAACCCGAGCAACGAAGTGGCCGCGGTTCGATAAATAGTTCGCCATTAATACGAATACTTGATAAATTTTATCTGCGCCGGTTTTATCTACCTGCAACGATAGACCACGTTACAATTTTACACACAAACTCCTCGGGGCATCCGATAGATGCTCGACGACTTGAATTTGCAGACTAATTTTACTACGTCAGCTAAACGATTTTAGAAATTTCTTAATTTTCTTCGAGATACTCTATTTCCGTTGCTCGAAATTAGTTCACGGATTATCTATGCAGTTTCTACTCCTTGTTAATTTTATCGTTTAACATTAACTCCCCGGCGCGCATTTTGGGAAATTAAACTTAGAAAGAGGTCCTCTGTTACGAGACAGGATTCTAATATAAGATAGCAGGTTTTCAATGTCCAAATTCAATCACAAATCTTTTTTCGCAAGGATTACGCGATCTAACGATCACTTTTCCGCTAAACAGAATTCACTCCAAGGGCAATAAATGCATGGCAGAACCAACAGATGATGCTAATTAATTTAGCAGAAACTCCGCTATCTCTGCTACATAATCTTCTCTTGTTGCAACTCAGATATTATTCGGGGAAACGTTTTATATATTAATACCGAAACGTTACTGACCCAAGTTTTGTAACAGAGGCAAGTTTCAAGCAAGTTGAAATTTGAATGTAATGCGCCAGATGTAATTTCGTTAATACGCAATTTCGAATATCTCTATGCTCGAACTTTTCTAATAAATTCTTCCCCCTTTTTTTTATTTTTAATATGCCCCAGGTACAACACACGGTGCCGTTCTGTTGAAAGTTAAGCGAGAAAGCCAAGAATCAGTGAATTAATATAACTATTATAACACGTGTAGAACTATGTACCTAATTATACATATTAAACTTATCTCATGAACAACTCAATTTAGTAACTCCGGGATGGTTTCTTAAGTACATAATACGGTATTGTGGCGCCAACTTCCGCCTGCGCTCTCTTCTAGCTCTATAAATTGTGTGCGAGTTCCCTAAGTTAGCATTCTAATAATTTCTCTCGCAATAGTAGTTTTGTGTATCTTGAAAATTCGCGACGCACAGTAAAGAGAAAGTAATAATGTCCGTACGCTAATTACGAAAAAGACAGATGAGGCAACAATCGAGACGATAAAATGTGTAAGACAGCAAATTCGACATTAATCCATTTTTATTCAGCCACACTTGTGTACATGATACTGCGGAAACATGTCTTTTCGTTCAACACTTACATAGAAACTTTTCGTGCATTAATGAACGTACGAACGCGGTGGTATTTTCAACGCTCTTATTTTTATCCTAAATTTTGTATCATTTAAGGTGGCATTCTTTAACGAATGGAACGTAGCTGCACAACATTTGCAGTTAATTTGTTTATATGAACATGAATTTATATTCAAAAATACATTCAACATTCAGTAACATTGATATCACTAAAGTATCACTTTTGTAGTCACGTTTCAAGAATTTATCATTTAATACGATTGTTAGAATCCCTGATATATTTATCGAAAATTTCCCTCTTCGACATTTACACTCTCGAATTATTCGTTCAACATAATCATCAAAGAGGAGTTTAAAAATTAACGCACGAAGTTTTCTTCTGTATATTATAAACGTCTATTTTAATCATATAGTTATATTAAATATAAGTGTATCGGTAATTCATAATTAAAGAACCAATGATAACAATTATAAATATAAATGCAGTTTTTTTAGAACTTTTCTACTCCTCGTAAGTGGGAGAATTTTTTTTCAAAAATCTGATATTTTCTGAGAAGAGTATATTTTTTTTATATATCACCTCCGAAGAGTTCTATCGGAAAGTGCTAATTGCAAGGCTCAAATTATTTCTGCTTGAAATAAAAAAGTTATTATAGCAATTTTCGTATAACGAAAATGTGGAGTCGCTAACTTTCATAAACAACTCATACGTGTAAGCAGTAGAGTTGTTAATAAGCGAGCAATGAAACAAGTTTCTCAGCAAACTTTAATCTCTTCCAGCGTACTCTGAAACTCCTCGTCTCATTGATGAAAGGTTTGAAGTTTCATCGCCCGCTACCGGAGATATTTTCCAGACCTTCCATTGCTCATACTTTGCACTCATTTCAACCTCCGCATCACGAATAACGTCAATGAACTCGCACGATCTAAACTTTTAGTAACAACACTGATACCATCTCTCTCAAACGCCACACAAACGAGTACAGTTTTGCCATAATTATTTTTATACAATATATTAAAGTCGTTATTAATAATATATCTAACCTTTCTTTCTAATTGAAACAATATAAATTATTCAAAAATTTCCATCCAGAAGACTACGTAGTTACTCACTTGAACAAGTTGCGCTAGAATTCACTTACTCAAATATTAAATATTTAAAATTGCATACGAAAGTTTTACTGAACAGTAATAAATTGCATAGGTACAACAATGGTGTCTCTTATTAATGAAATAAAAGCACTTTTACTTGCATAACGTTCATAATTTTCAATTAGTCTGCGCTCAATTTTGTATTAATATATCCCAAGATAGCGAGATGAGTGTAAACTTCGTATAAACTGCACAGTTAAGATTGATTACACCCTCTCCATAGCACGCATAATTCTATAAGCTTACCTGCTTATTTACGCTCTCAGCAGCTCATCTCGTGAAGTAAAGCAATTCAAAGCGCTAAGTCATAATTAACGACATGATGAAAACACAAAATTTTTTATAACACTTGCTAAATGTAGAGTGTTTTTACAAACATTTATAAAAAGTTCGGTTCCAAATTTTTCAGAAAATTGTAAAAGCGTATTTGTAAAAGAGTGAATCATTTTCTACTTTTTATTTTCAAAATTAGAGCTTTATAATCTTAAATTGGATTCTTAATCAATAATTTTAAGTAAAAACTTGATTAAAATTAAATGAGAAACACAAGATTTTACCTATTTGCATTGTTGAGACTTGTAACATGTGAAAATTCATTTTCCATTTTTAGTTAATCTTGAAAGAACTCATACTCTTGCTCGTACTATTATTTGTAATATCTTTTGTAATTTTATCTCGTTACAATTAATATATGCATAGTGCACACATTTAAATACATAATTCTTATAATACAATTACCAAGTGTTCTCTCGTAAATCTCTTTCAACATTAGTAGCATTTATTTCATAGTACTGAGGCATTAATGATTAATCACAACACAATGACTTGTAGTTTTATTCATATAAATATCACAAGAGATTAGTTCGCCGGTATACGCGCGTTATGTGATAACCCGGTTATGTCCAATATATTAATCGCTTATGATTAAATATATATATATATGTATATATCAATTCTGATTGGTTATATAATAACGTCATCAAAAATATGTTACATACAGTCAAAAGTGATTCGCTTTGACTTCCAAAATTTCTATTGCGATATAAATCGCATATCACACTGTTCGCGAGTAAGAAATGATTGACTTATTGAACACCTTGTGCGTATAACAGTAGTGATAGAAAAGGTCAGCAGTTTATATCGTAGGATGAAAGACACTTTTAAGTGACGTTTAAATTGGGTGAACGTCATCACTCGAGAACAAGCAACACTGGAAGACGATAGAGATATAAAAAGAATTTTATAAGGCAAGGTAGCCTCGTTAGAGGAAATAGAGAGTGGTCCGCAGAAGATTCAACGTTATAGTATAAGTATAATCGAGAGTTCATTGGCAGATCCATTGAAGTGATGTTTTTACTCGATAATAAGCGACGAGTGGAAGACATTTAATATGTGCAGAATAACAAGAAATAGATATCAATATATGTTTCCCCGTAAAACTCGCGGGATAGCCATTTTGTAGAAATATATTTATCGTTATTATATAGAAATATATTATATATTAAGCTTCTTAACATGTTCGTCGCGTTGCAGTTGTTATACAAAATACTATATGTGCCATATTCAGAGTCAAAGCAAGCTGGTCTGACATATCAAACTGGTAACCTGAACCAACATTAGGCAGATCTGTAAAATATATTGCGATCGAGATAATTTAAATATATATTATTAAAAAATTGAATATACAATAAAAACAGAAATGACAGATCTAGTCTAGTATATAAATGATATAAAATAATTTGCAGATCTTTCTATTACTTTCTCGTAGATATTAATCGTAATGAGATTCGTATAATACTGAAATGTGGAAAAATTTGTCCTTGGTTCATTCTTTCCCTTTTGATTATTACTTATTCCATTTGAACTTTCTGTCCTAAACGTGAGACAGATGGCAAACGCAAAAGCTAATCAACGGAAATATCCCTCGACGTTTCTGAAACTTGCAACGAACATGCTAACTGAAAGAGTTCATGACGAGATTTGCTTCATAAATTGAAGGCAGCAGTTTCGTAATACGCTTTTTCTTTTCATTTTGACATAATGTAGTCTAAATAACTACATGTACCGACACTGTCAGCAATAGCAGGAGGTCCTGGGTGGCGGAGTGTCGCGCTCGTGACATCTTAGAGCTTTTTGATGCGGTAACGGCGACTTATCCACCGTAGCCTCCATTCTGCGCATTACGCGGTCCAGTAAAATCTCTACGGCACGCTCGACATTCTGCCCGGTCGCGGCACTTGTCTCCAGATAAACCAACCTGAAAAAGGAAGCGCAACGTTCAAAGATCATAGATCGGAAACAGATATTTCTTTTTACTTTCAATAAAGCCAGATACGTTTCGTTGTTTCTGACTAGACTTACCCGTGCCTTTCCGCAAGATCCCGCGCTTTGTGCTCGCTGATGACACGTTTGTCCTCAAGATCGGATTTATTGCCGCAGAGAATTATGTCTGGGTCGTCACAATATGCGTGTGTCTACGCGCGTATATGCATACAAACACAGCATGTTAATTCAATAAATACGAAAGTCACTCGTGAAAATTATAGCCGATTAAAAGAAAATTTAATTGCCAAAGAATTCTATTGAATTTTGCAATTATATTCGGGATTAAAAGTAAAGTTTTTCATGGTTTAAGTTAATGGTTTTTAAAAGTTCATTTCTTATATTTAGTAATAAAACTTTCATTAAGCACTTATTTCCGTTTTTAAATCGAACGATAGCTTGAGTCATAAAGTATAGGAAAAAATATACATACTGTATAAATTCTAAATATACATTCTAAATATATATTCTAAATATATGTACATACTATTATAATCAGCAAGCAATAGTATCGATCAATACTTAATTAAAGCATCGCGGAAGAATTTCCGTGCGTTTAATTTCTACAAAATGTTACGTTGCGTTAAAAAAATATAATCATGCAGAATAATATGCACGAAAGGTGTAAAAGAGTTCTGCAAAAGTTCTCAGATATATTATTGCGTAACTTTCTTCTCGACTGTCCTTTTCGTCTGTCGCTATTAAAAGTCCATATAAATATATAAAAATATATAAACGTATTAAAAAAGTCTACGTAGCCTTGTATCATCGCGCTCTCGTGTTTCTATACCTTTACTAGATATACACCGAATAAATAAATGAATGCAAGATTGTATCGCCCAATTTCGGCAATAATGTTGAAACTACGTTGATTCTTTAAGGAATTGCAACAATCCTTCCGCAAGCATACTCCAATGCGACATCGTGCCGCTAAATATCGCATTCGTGGAAAGAAATTGTACAAATAATCCATTCTATCTACATGCTACATCTTCATGCATCAGATGTTCGATCAGTACAACTGCATTTCAGTATCGTGCCAACGTAAATGTGCACATTACACGCAGCTGTGCACGGTATAAATAGAGGGATTAAAATTGCTCAAAAGATCGTTCGATTAAAACAACATGCGCGATTCCTCCAACGTGCGACATTTATAACAGTGCTAATAAATGACGGGTACCCTAAGCTGCTCCAGCCAGTTTCTAACTTCGAGAAACGACGATTCATTGGTCAGGTCAAAAATTAGTAGGAAACCCATGGAGTCCCGGTAAAAGGCTGTGGTTAGACTTCTGAACCTGGATATCAATAATGTTAAGCGACTTGCATGGAATTGGTTAGACTGGTAGTCTTAAGCACTCCCGCAGAATCATCAGACATATTGATTAGAACACCTCATACGTACGTCTACGTTCTTTCAGAACTTTGCGACAATTTGCACTCGTGCAATTTAGCAGATGCAAGCTTTGTAGTTTAAATCAGAATATTACAATGCACGGGTTCAATTCTGTATCTTACAATACAACGAAAATGTTAAAAGTGAGCGGCCTTGTCTCTGTTTGAAATGATACTGTAAAAAGGACTGGAAAGTATACCTGAGAAAAAGGGTTGGTAGAAGCAACGAGCTCAGAAAATGTGAAGATTACACTGGATAGAATTCGTATAATTGATGGCAAAGAAAAGAGAATTGAATAATAATAATATTTCTAGACAAGAACTCGAGCTAATAATAAATGCTCGAATCCACTTGCTTCAGTTCTCTTTCAGAGTCGATAAGAACGGTGGGTGTACTCGTCAAGTAAATAGAGCTGATAGATTCTGTGAAAATAAGAGAAAGAGAGGTGTCCGTGTGGACGATTGCCTTTCGACCCCGTGAAAATGAGGGGTTGCACAGACGGTTACTTCGTGGTCCCATGTCGTGGTAAGGAGAGTCCTGTGTAACCGATTGCCTTGGTGGCTCCGTTTATTAGAAATGGGTCTGTACAGTCGATTGCCTTACGGCTCCGTAATGAGAAGTGGATCTGTATTGTGGATCTGTAATAGATAGAGAGAAAGAGAGAGGGAGGGAGATATGTGCCTCTCCGATATACGACTGAGAGCTCGTTTCTCACCTTAGCAAACTTTGAGAAAGCCTGAGTGATAACAGCCTCGGTGTGTGCCACGACGTTCCGAAAAACGAAGGAGCTCCTCTAAAAAAACAAACCAACCTCGTTCCCGGCCTTCTTTCTTCGAATTGATTTTTTTACTTACTTCGCAACCTACCCTAGCAGCTGGCAACGCGCTGATTTCTCAACAGTCTCTTTTTAAAAGGAGCAGAAGGGGACAAAGCTGTTCACTTTTAGCGTTTTCACTGGTGTAACATACAGAATTGCTCCCCAGAATAGAAAAGTACAGTATCGCATCGTCCACATTATCTCCGTGAATGTATACAAATGCAAGTTTATGCAAGTACGTCTCGCTAGCTCGCCAAAGTTTAACGCCGATTTGCCGAAGAGCGCAGCAAGTGGCACGTTAACTGTCGCTCCTCCTGACAGAATAACCGCGTTCGCAGATCCCCCCGGCGCACTTACCTCTCTTGACCGGCCGTGTCCCAAAGCTGCAGGTGCACTCGTTGACTCCTGCCATTCGCCGTCTGATATATCTGCAACACAGATCACGCATTACTTCTCGATGCGCAAGGTACAAAGCTGCCGTATCCTCCCCGATGTACACTAGCAATCGCTGATGCCTTCCCACATGAATTCAGAACACACGTACGTTTTCCATGTATGTATATGCAAAACGTACGTGTTGATATGTGCACAAATTCATGCGGGAAGGCACCAGTGATTTCTAGGCCGGGATTCACAGTCGGATCTTATACTCGAGACTGCCTCAAGATCATTTCTAGATACTCCTTAGCCAATGTTACAGCATCTTCGGACAAATTCAAAACGGTGTTGAATATAAGAATCTGACTATGAATACCGGCCCTGGTTGTACGCAACACCCGAGTGTGACTAATCCGCGTCCGATACTTTTCACTTATAATTAGCTCGCGTGGGGTCGTTAATTATCCCAAGCCTGTCGTCGCAGCCTCGCCAGAGATAAGCGAGACACACACACACACATACACACGCTCTCTCTCTCTCAAAGATACGCAGGCTTGAAATCGTCAACGCTACCAGCCGAGTCGCTTCTCTCACCACTCGCTTCTCCTTGAAGTCAATCCCAACGGTGGACACGAATCTGGAGTTGAAGGTGCCGTCGGTGTACTGGTAGAGGAAGCTGGTCTTGCCGACGCCGGAGTTGCCGAGCGCCAGGAACTTGACCAAGTAGTCGTAATTCATTCTGCCGCCCGTCGTGCCACCCCCGGCCGCAGGACGCCCCGGCCCCGGGGCTGATGAGTCAGCGATGAACGCGCCGGACGACCCGTCGCTGCCGCGAACGACGCGCGCCGACTGTCCGCTCGGCCGTGGAACGCGCGCGGCGATCAACGTGGACACCTGTTGCCTACGTGTGCCACTTTCGAAAGGCGTCCGCGCCCCCCGTTGACGCGCCACACCGCCGAGCCGCGCCGCGAATCGTCGTCGTCGTCGTCGTCGTCGCCGAGAGACCGGATGGCTCGCGCCCGTCCTCGCCTGGGCCCGCGTGTCAAATCGGCGCGACTCACTCGCGGCGTCAGCAGCGGCGACGGTGACGGACCGTGACGGCAGACGGCGGAGAGCGAATCAGCGAGAAATGGCGCTCGCAGGGCTGCCAGTGCTGCCACAGTCACCTCGACGAAGGCACGAGCGGTCGAGAAGGAGAGGAATCGTTGCCGACGAAGATGGGACACAATCGACGGGACTGCTAGTGCTCGCGCCTCCGATTCTCGCCCTCCGTTTGTCTTCCGGTGCGCAACGCGACGTCCACTGACGTCCACCGAGTAGCGCGAGCGCCCGTTTGCCGCGCGTAATCGAGCCGCGCCGGACTCCGCCTCCGACGATGCGCCGAAGCGCGCGTCAACAAGATACAAGAGCAACAGGAATGACGCGCGTCGACGTCGTGGCGAGTGCAACGGTATCATTTTTATTATATCGACTATTGTTCGCAGACACGGATTAGGTTAGGTTTGGGGTTAGGTTGCGCGCTAAGCCGAGCACTGTGCTTCCAGCGGACGGATGGTCGATAACTCGAGGACGCTGTTTCGCGCCGCGCCGACCGGCCGTGGCTTAAAATGCGGCGAAGCGGCGGAGGAGATGGACGTGAAAATCGACGTTGAGTACTGGTGAGTGCGTTGAAAGTCACTTCAAGTCCGTAGTCGGCGCGGACTCGCGCTGGGCGCGCGGTGGCATTGACCTCTTCAATGGACGCACAGACGCGCCTCGATTCGTAACGGGATTCTTTCCTCGCGATGTCCGTAGACCAGCGACTTTCGACCGGTGTGCCGCGGCAATTTCTAAAGCATGCAACGCCCGACTATTCGGTAAGGAACACCGGCCTCTTTTCTCCGCCTTAGATTGTCAAATAATACGCTTGGTGACTCGCGAGAATCAGCTGTGATAGAAGTGCGACTTTTGACACACAGCTCTTTTTATTTTTATTTCCTTCGACGATCTTGCCTTGCGTTGCCATTCGCTCTGTTCACCGAGGAAGACGGGGTTGGGCAGTAACTTGTTACTTGTAACGAAGTTACTTTTTTTTTTTGGTGACTCTAACTTAACTTGGTTACTTTCAACTTCTTTGCGGATGCATCTCGCGGTTGGTCAATAAACGACTGTGATTTTGTAGCGGCTCGTGTGGGCACAAGAAACAGTTTCTTCAGCTGGCGGAGGAGATAAAGAGGAACGTCCCCAGCGCCACCGTCGCTGGCACAGCAGGGAGGCAAGGCAAGTTGCCAATGTAGCACGCCAAGGCCCGGGTTCACGTTGCGTAACTTGAAGCTTAGCTTAACTCGTTCTTTGACTCTTTCCAACTGTTACTTTAGAGAGAGAGAGAGAGAGAGAGAGAGAGAGAGAGAGAGAGAGAGAGAGACAAGCGTGAATTAAACTAAGTTTAAAGTTAAGCGACGTTTGGTGAAACCGGGCCTAAGTGGGGATGTGTCTGTCACGTTTTCCCTTTTCTTTCCAGCCTCTTTCGAGGTGCAAGTGAACGATGAACTGGTGTACTCCAAGCTGCAAACGCTCGCGTTTCCCGACTTCGTCGCGATCGCGGATATGATCAGAGACGTGTCGGTGGGTAAACCGGTGAGGAGAGTCGACCAGCAACAGGCCGCGGACTGTGTGCTTTTGTAAACGCGTTTTATTACAGGCCAGGTACAGGATGGAGAGCTCGCCTTATTGATATTTATTACGGAAATAAAAAGTATTCGCTATGTTTATGTATTTACTATAAACATTTATAATATTTATGTACTTACTCAGTATATACATAAAATTGAATACTTAGCATTTGAGATTCTTCTGTAGCTCGCACACGATAAGCATTGCGCACGAAGTTTAGATAATAATTGAGCTAGAAGTGGTCCGTTGAAAAATAGTAGACGTGATCGCCAATTTTGAGCGTACCCTGCGTACTTTCCAATCTGGTTAAATAGATTCCAAACCTCAGCTTCCCGTGGAACTCCTCCGCTAGCGTTCTCAACGGCTCGACGGTCTTCCTGCCGGTTGTTTGATCGATGCATATCATCTGACATCTCGTGCAAGGACCGTTTACCTGCCATTGAATACGTTATAGCGATTTGTATCGATAGCCTGGCCAGTGTAAAAGAATGCATACTTTAAAATTATTATTTCCGATGCGGACGCGCTTCCATTGCATCTCGTCGAAGGCCTCGCAGCCTTCCACGATAATGTTTCCTCTGAACCGGTGCACGGCTGTATCCTTCTCGAAATCCAAGTCCTCGGATACCCTGTCGACGAGCCATGACACACTTGCCTCGTTCACTGCCAAATACTGTGCCTGACTGGAAAACGATAGCTCTGTCTTATCCAATCCTACAAGAGAAATACAATAAGTTCCCCCACTGGTGTAAGTGAGCGCAGCTTCGAGACTCGGCGTAAACATTTTCACATTTACACCATACCTTTCTTTTGCCTCCCATGACTCTGTCGAATCAATCTGAGATTTGGCTTGCCCAGTGCCAAGCTCAGCCACTCGGAAGCTTCCGGTCCGCAATCAATACCTTGCACTCTACTCTCGCACACTCTGCTTTGGCATACAGGATGTTCCACAGACTTTTCATAAGTATTTTCTAAAGGGACTTCAATTGCTGGCATTCCTAAAACGATTTATTGTCATTCGTGCTAAATGCGCTTTGTTGTCACTAATTTATTTTTGTTAATTTCAATCATTCTATAAACAATCTTTAATTAATCTCAACTATTTAAATTTTAACATTCTCAATTATAAAATTTTATTTGTATTTATGTATTTTTAAAAAATTGAACTTTTATAATGCTGCATATAGCAAAGTGACAAAATTATAAAATTTAGTTACCTGGATACGTCAGTTTCATAATTTTTTGCTCTCTAAGAATAACGGGCTTGAGCAGGCACAGATTCGTGTGATGCTTTTGCGTCAAGCAAGTGCCAGAGGATGTCATTATCATCCATTCTCTGTCGTATTCCAGACCCTTCGAGTTCAAGTTCCATGAGTCCGCAATTTCATGCGCTCCGCACGATTTGATAGGATATACGAACAGCCGTCGCACGGTACATTTGCTCATTTGCGCATTCGCTTTATTGTAGTTCACGGAATTCATAATGCGACCAAGGCTCTCACTTTTGTTATCGTTCCTGTTGTTCTTTTCGTCACTTGTAATACGCGGAATAGAATGATCCAAGATGTTGGAATTGTAAAAGTGCTTGTGATTTTCATTAACTCCCGACTTGCGGCTCTCCCACCATTGCGGCAATCTTCTGATGCACGGCTCGTCGACGAAACACTTGGTGATCATAAGCAAGACCGTCTGAACGTCCTTGATCGTGGACATATAGCCGAAGGAGATTCTCACCGCTCCGGTCGGTTTGCCGTTTAGCAAATCCGCGGCACCGCCGCACGTGTATCCCGCCTCGTAGTTTTGAAGAATCTCCTTGGTCGAGAGGGACAGGTGCCTCTGGCACGCGCCGGGATTGCAAAAGCAGCCAGTCCTAAGGTGAATCTTGAATAACGCTGCCATGTTGACGACCTCCATGTACCCTACGTATTCGCCGTTGGACCGGATAAGATTAAACGAAACGATCCCGCCCTGTGAGTCGCGATCCTCGTAATCGGAATCGGAGTAGAGCTTGACGACTGGTTTACCGTTGCAGTGGTGTAACGTTAGCAGGGAGTGATGCAGGGTCCTGGCGAGAGAGAAAACGTGTCTCGATATCTGCTCCATGGTCAGCCGCGAAAGTATCTCGAAGCCGTGCCGCAGCGACGCGATAGACAGAAACGGCACGGTCCCATCCTCGAACCTGCGAATCGGGACGTTACAAGGTGATTCACTCGTCTCGAGGTCGAGGCGCGACTCTTACTCACCTTTGACACAGCGCCTGACGTTTCCTGTGAAACCTTTCGGAGCTGAGAGCGACGTCCACGGTACCGCCGCCGTAGTAAACCTTCTCCAGAACGTCCGCGCTGGCGTTCCTCACGAGCAGGGCGCCGATACCGGTGGGATAGCCGAACATTTTGTAGAAAGACAGACACACGAAGTCCGGTTTGAAGACGGACAAGTCCAGGTTGTTCGTCGGCGCGAATCCGGCCGCGTCGAGCAGGACGTACCACCTGGTCGACGGTCCGCCGGCGAGAGCGGAGAGCGCTCCGGCGTGCGCGGCTCCGATCCATTTGAGGGGATACTTGAGTCCGGAAAAGTTGCACTGCGCCGAGTACACGAAGAGGGAATTGCCGCCCTGCCGCTCGTCGGGATCGCGACGGCACGTACGCTCGCCGAGAGTCCGAAACGCCTGATCGTGGCCCAGGCAGATGACCTCCGCGCCCCTGCCAGCGACCACGTCCCGCATCCCCAGGACCGACGTGTGATTGTCCTGCACGTAGACGAAACTGCCCGCGCGCGTGAACGCGGTCTGGTCCGTCCCGAAGCGGAATCCATCCGCGATTATCTTTAGACTCGCCGTGGCGCCCGAGGTGAAGATAACGCTGTACTCGTCGGGGCTCGTGTTGAAGTGGCTCAGAATTCTGAGAACGGTGTGATTCAAATCAACTGTAAATTCGTTATCGAGCACATTTATCTGTGATCGCTTTCTCTCTCTCTTTCTCTCTGTCTCTCACCGGTATCTCGTGCGCTCGATAATGTCCTGTGTCAACGAACTCCCGATGCCGATGGAGTGCGGGTTCGCGTAGAGAGAGCTGTGCAGATCGGCGCCCACGTTTCTGATCTGCGTGTCCGAGTACAGAGTCGCGCCCGCGTGGTCCACGTAGCACTCGCCTGAGGACAGAGCGCGTTAGGGGATCAAACACCTTTTGTGTAACACTCTTCAGCTCCCGTGCGTTTCTCTTGCGGTTTCAATTAATTTTACAATGTTTAAACGAGTGTTACAGATCTCTTTTGCTGTCGAATGAATTCTATTATCAAATCCTGTAGTAATGAGCCAACAGTCCGACATCGAGTTTTTAAAACACGATAGAAATAATATAATAAAGAAACAAGAGTGGTAATTATATATCGCCAGAAATTATAAACCAAAATTTCATAAGTTTTATCGACCTGCACTGGCTATAGCGATTTTTGTTGACCTTATCAGGCTATTAAAATTCTTATTGCGAAAAATATTACCCCAGCCAGGATTCGAACCTGGGACCACCCTACAATCCGTGACGGGCGTCTTAGCCAGCTCGACCACCGGGGCTGTGATAATACTATTCGCAATAACGTGTATACAGGGTGAGTCTTTCCATATCCGACAAAATTTTTGAGAAGGTAGAACGGATCGAGATGAATGGAAAAGTCATGTACCATTTTGCAATTTTCGTAATAGTTAACGAGTAATTAATTATTAAAAATCGTTGTCTTAGGCCGGCCTACCGCCCAATTCGAGCGCGTGGCGAGATGTGCGCATAGCAATATCGATCGCCAGGCGGTCACATCTTGCCACGCGCTCGAATTGGGCGGTAGGCCGG